CGTACATAGAATATTTTATAATCAAGATCATTTTTACAAAAAGAGTCGCAAAAATTTGAAATCAACTGCCTTACTTCACATAGGAGTTGAAATGGTCGTTCAGATACTTTGAAATGAATTGGTTAAGGATTTCGAATTCGTACATCCCAGTCATTGAGCAATTGGATTTTTCAAACAACTTCGCAACGAGTACGTTCACTAGGCGGATGAGCTGAAGTACAAGCAATATAAAAACAGTGTTTACAGAGAAGAACATGCATTTACAGCTCCATGTCCACTGTTTAGACAGGATATGATTGCCCTTTGGATAGGTCGAATTGTTTGCAGCAGCAAAGGTTTTGGCTGTAAAGACAATCACGCGATGTTAAATATGATGAGGAATGTCTTAAGTATAAATATTATTACCATTATTGTCACGAGGTTGATTACGACTTCGAGCGCCTGTTGAGCTTGCGCAATTGACTGCGCCAACTGTGACTGATTTTCTTGCCTTACAAGTGACTCAGGCGGGACAGTTAGCTCTTTCTCGAGCCTATAATCAAAGAACCATATACCTGTACTTACTGTATTTGAAGCTGAACTAAAAAAAGAGATAAAGTGATAAAGAACCGACCATCCCACTTTGATAGTAACAACATCACCCCATACTGCAGATTTGAGACATTGCTTCATCAGTCCAATGCTTCGTTTACCATTTTCGATCGTTGCTTGATGCAGCTGATGTGGTTGGACAGGAGAGGTTGGCTACAACAGAACACAGAGCACTAGCATTTGAAGGACTTAGAGTTTTAACCCCTTGAATTAACCCGTAACAGTGATATTACAGTTTACCTGGATGGCAAATTTCAACAGCATTGCGACAACTTCATCCACACACTCCTTTGACATTTGCTTATATAGCTGGTCATCAAAATCTCCTGAAAAGTGTAGTTGAAACAAAAAACTTATCAATCCTTTGACATTCTCACATTGGATGCCCTCATATGGAACAGAGCATTCACAAAAACTCAACATACCAGAAGAAGACTCGCCTGCGGATGGTGTTGCATGCCGTGAGCCTTCAGAGTCATTTAAGAGGGTATCGAGCTGTAAAAAACACTTTCAGTTTCGGAGTTAACCACATGAATGGAATCAAGCCACCATAACAGTGCCCACGTAGAATTTGATGAAAAAATTGTACTTTTCTTTAGATACCTCATCATCGTGAGACGTTAACCCTTGCGTCAGCTGCTCCACCTTTTGCAGTCGCAGCAGTTCCCATTTTATCACCATCTCACATACATCCAAAGCTAGTTTCCTCGTCATTACCCTAGAAGAGTAAATGTGATTTCAATACTTGAGTATAATCTTTACTTACCCATCCATCGCTGAATTGGGAGTGCTAATCACTCGACGTATAGCACTCATGAGAGGTTTGAACAGGGCATGGCGACAAGTGAAGTAGGCACGGTAGTTGCGCACTATCATGCTTCTGAAATATATTACAAAAGTTCCATCATATCTATATGAATTTATCCCATAAAGGCTCTCGAAATTTATGATTTCATCAATAAATATCTGTCCAAGCTTCAAGGTCTGGGAAGTCAACTCAAAATGCAAAAAT